AATTTTAAAATATTTTTTGTTTAATTTTATGCAATTCCAAAGGATAAATATTTTATTATTATTTTATAGTATTTATTTAAAAATATTAAATTATATTTTATTTTGAAAAATTAAATAATTAACTTGAAATTTAATACATAAGTTATACATTAACACTCAAAATTAATAATTAATGGAAAAATTTGTATAAGTTATTCTAAAGCCAACACTATAATGATGCATTTACACCCATAATCATGGGCATCTTTTGTATGGAAATTGTTACTCCTTTGCTGGGGTGGGGACATCGTAGTATCTTACAACGAAGGTGGTGGCATAGGACCGCATGGGACAAAAAATAGTACGTAGCATACTTAACACGTACAAAGGGGTGGGGATTGAGGCGAGCTATGACGTCATACAAAAAATTAGTAGTCTATCTTGTGAACAGAAAAGAAAACCAAAATTCAGTTCAAAAAGAAAAGAAAAGAAAAGAAAACCAAAATTAGTCAAGGGGTCTTTCCACGAAGGTGGTGGCATGGGACAAAAAGATGCAGCCACGTAGTTGCTGATTAGAAATAAAAGTTGCTAGATTTCTTCCACTAGAAGGACTATAATAGACACTATAAAAAATACTAATAACTTATTTAAAGATATGTTTATAATTTATTAATTATTTAATTAATAATATATTATAAATATAAATTTATAATCTTATATACTATTATAAATTTATAATTATAATATTACTCTATTAAAGAATAATGATATGACTAAGAACTTCACCAAAGTGACTTAATGACTGCGCATTTCTTTGAGGTTGATGATCTATTTATTTGATTTAAAAATCCAATTTTCAGTTACTAATTCTAACAATTCCAACCTACTGACTATTGCTCTTATAAACAAAAAAAAAAAAAAAAAAAAAAAAATGATATGACTAGAAAGGAGCCATAAAGTTCTAAACTTACTGGGCAGACTTTTCTTTTTGTTTTTTTTTTATAAAATACTACTATGTTGTCAAAGAACAATGATGATGATTCCAAAGGAGCCATAAAGTTCTAAAACTTTCTAGGCAGACTTTGGAAAAGAAGTTCCCTTTCTTTACGGTTTCTGAATCTGGAAGGATTAGGAAGTCATTCCCAAACCCTTTGCCTGGGGGAACCTCTTTCGCATATACATGAGTAAAAGGTAATTTACACATGTATAATTTTTAATTTCAATTGAATTGTTTAATGATTAAAAATTAAAAATTTTAAGTTCAAACCTTGAGTTAAGTGAAGAAAGATTTGTAAATAGAGGAAGGATATCTCCTCTTATATAACTCATCATCAAATATATAAAAAAAATACACATATAATTTAATTTGAATTTTACCTATAATATCTTGATTCTTTCATATAACAAATAAATAACATATGAAAAGAGTTCTACTAAAGTGAAATCACTTAATAAAAATTAAATGTGAAAAGAAAATCTTTTTAATTGATATTCATT